ATAGTATCTTTATGAACTTTTTGGGTATTTAAACCAGTTTTGTAAGAAATTCATATTATTTTTATAAATTGCTTTTATTTCCAACATTTCTAGAACATTAATTTTTTAAAATAAATTTATTTATTATGGATACAGTGTTCTGTCTGCATGCATGCCTGCATGTCACAGAGGGCACCATATCTCATTATAAATAATTGTGAGCCACTTTGCTGGATTGTCTGACCATTTACCTCAGGTATCCCCCTTCCTTCCCAGCAGTGAGATTATGGGGGGGGCACAGTCCCACCTGGCATTTTTACATGGACATAGAGGATTTGAACTCAGACCCTCATAGCATTTTTATCCATCAACTCACCTTTTCAGGCCCCTGAAAAGCTTTTAACATTAGAATTCCTCCCTCCTTCCCTCCTTTTCTCCCTCGCTCTCCCTCCCTCCCTCCCTCCCTCCCTCCCTCCCTCCCTTCCTCCCTCCCTCCCTTTTCTTCTGAGACATGGTTTCTCTAGGTAGCTTTAGCTGTCCTGTAACTTGCTTTGTAGACCAGGGTGACCTCAAACTCAGAGATCTGCCTGTCTGTGTCTCCCCAGTGCTGGCAATAAAGGTGTGTGTCACCATTAGCCAGCTAACATTGGAATTTCTTAATAAAAATAGTATCTTAGTTAGGGTTTCTATTGCTGTTACGAAACACCATGACCAGAAGGTAAGTTGGGGAGGAAAGGGTTTATTTGGCTTACACATTGCTATTCATCACTGAAAAAATTCAGTTCAGAACTCAAATAGGGCAGAATCCCAGAGGCAGGAGCTGTTGCAGAAGCCATGGAAGGGTGCTTCTTACTGGCTTGCTTCCCATGGCTTGCTCTATCTATTTTTCTTATAGAACCCAGGACCACCATCCCAGGGATGGCACCACCCACCATGGTCTGCACCCTCCCTCCCCCATTGATCACTAAATGAGAAAATGCCTTACAGCTGGATTTTAAGGAAAGCATTTCCTCAACTGAGGCGCCTTCCTCTGATGACTCTAGCTTGTGTCAAGTTGACACACGAAACCACCCAGTTACAAATGTCAAATATGGATCAATAGTCTTTTTTAAAATTTATTTTTAGATATCTTTATTTTATATGTTTGAGGTTTTACTTGCACATATGTGTGTGCAGCGTGCATGTGAATGGTCCCTGAGGGGGTTAGAAGAGGGCATAAGATCCCCTGGAACTGGAGCTACAGATGGGTGTGAGCTATCATATGAAGGTTGGGCCTTGAATCCAGGTCTTCTGCAAGAATAGCACATGCTCTTAATATCTGAGTTCTCTCTCCAGCCCTAGACCAACATTTTTAAAGATGATTGGTCCAGGCGAGGACTCCTGCTCTCTTAAAGCTAACCCTGCAGCTATGATCTCATGGAATGGGTCTATGACCCCAAGTTAATCATTTTCATAAATCCTTCTTTTGAAAGGTGAGAAAAGTAAATGCTTTGTGGAGAGAGGAATAGAATTTCTTGAAGCACTGTCTTTATGAGTTAAAGGACCAAGATAGATAATTACAAGAATTTTTTTTTTTATAGCAATTCACCCTGTAACCTCTTCTTCTCCTCCTGGTTGACTGTCTTATTTGAGTCTTATTGATGCTGACTTCTTCCAGAAATACTCTTGGTAACATGTCCTGTAATTTATTAATTGTTCCCGAACCTATTGACACATGTCAATAATAAAAATCCCCCAAACAGCAGTAACTCGACAAGCCAACTTTTGCTGGGACCACCCCTTGCCACCCTTTCTTTCTCTTTGAGCATCCCACTCACCCATCTCCTTACACACTGGGCTGTTTCAAGAGTTCCCTTTATATCCAGTGCCCAAAACTTTCACGCCTACTTCAGTGGCTATGAGTCGATGGCTGTGGGAAATGTGGATGGGGAGAAGGCTGACTTGGGGACTGTACTCAGGTGTCTTGATGGCATCTGAAAGAATCTCCTCTCTAAACAGAGTTTTGGGGTCTCTATAGACTTTCATCCATAGACCAGGCATTTTTCTTCCTGTCTGAGAAAATGGAATCTTGCAGGGCTGGGGGTTATAGTTCAGTGGGTAGAGTACTTGTCTGGTATTTGTGGAACCCTAAGCTTAAGCTCCAGCACCTTGCAGACCATGTATGGTGGCCTACACCTCTAATTCCAACACTTGGAAGGAGAGGTAAGAAGATCAAAAGCTCGAGGTCTTGAGGTGGAAACCAATATGTGAGAACTTGTTTCAATAAATAATAAAATAAAAAAAGATAAACTGTTTTCTGTCATGGTGGTTCACACCTGTAATTCTTAGGCAGGAGGGCTGCTGTGTATTTTAGCATAGCATAAGCAATGCAGTGAGGGTCAGGCCAACTCAGGCTACAGATTGAGAGCCTGTGTTTGAGAACAAAAAAAAATGACAATAAAAACAAAACCAGAAGAGGAAAGAGAAAATCTTGAGTCTCCATTCCACCTGTTGCTTAAGCCAGCGATGTGGGAGTCATTCTGTCCATTTCTTCTCTCTCCACCTGGTCTGAACCAGCACATCCTGTCTTGCTGGATATCTGTAGCAATCTTATATCTGGTCCTCTTCTCTCTTGTCTTCTTACAGTGGCTGGATTCTCATTCAGAATTGTCTGAACCAGGACATCCTGTCTTGTTGGACATCTGTAGCAGTCTTCTATCTGGTCCTCTTCTTTCCTGTTTTTCTACAGTGGCTGGATTCTCTCTCAGAACTGTACACTATGCAGCCCTCTCATGGTTCCATTCCTTCCTTCAGTGGGCTCCCTCTTATGAGAATACTCAAATCTCAATGCAATGGTCTGAGTCCTACACCTCTTTAGTTCCATTGCCTTGTCTTCCTTCTGGATTGTTGTTATACCTTGTGGTAGTTTGAATGCAACTGGCTCCCATAGATCTATAAATAGTGGTACTATTAGGTGTGGCCTTGTTGAAGTAGGTGTGCCTGGTTGGAGGAAGTATGTCACTGTGGGGGTGAGATTTGAGGTCTTCTATGCTCAAGCTACACACAGTTCAGTTCACTTCCTGTTACCTGTGGATCAAGATGCAGGACTCTCAGCTCCATCTTCAGCGCCATGTCTGCCTGCATGCCACCTTGCCCTGCTATGATGATAATGGACTAAATCTCTGAACTGTGAGGTTGTGGTCATGGTGTCTCTTCACAGCAACTGAAACCCTAATTATGACACATCTTTCTGGATATTCTACTTTGTGCCAGGAAGAAATCATGTTCTCTTCAGCCTCCATGTACCAGAAGGAACTCTTCCCTATTTTACAACCCTTTCTATAAGTCAAAGTGCAGTATGAACTGTTTTCCCAATAAGGATATCTCTCCCCTGATCTTGTAGTTACTTGCCTATTTCTATAATTAGAAACCATGATCAAGGCAAGTTATAGAAGAAAGAGTTTATTGGGGACTTAACATTTCAGAGGATTAGAATTAATGACTTTCATGGCAGGGAACCTGACAGCAAGCAGACAGGCATGGTGCTGGAGGAAAGCTCAAATTTCAGTCTACAAGTCCCAGTGAGAGAAAGCTAACTGGGAATGGCATAAACTTTAAAAACTTCCAACCTTGCCCCCACTGACACACCTCCTCCAAAAGGTCACACCTCCTAAGCCTTCCCAAACAGTTCCTGCTGTGGGACAATGGTCTGTACCCTGTCACTTGTATTTTAAATAAATGCGGATTGGCCAGTAGCCAGGCAAAAAGTATAGGCAGGGTGACCAGAGAGGAAGTAGAGGCGGGGCAACGAGAATTCTGGGAAGTGGGACGTTTCAGTCTGCAGCTGTCACCCTGACACAGAGGAAGCAAGATGTGACTGCCTTGCCGAAAAAGGTACCAAGCCATGTGGCTAACACAGACAAGAATTATGGACTAATATAAGTTATAAGAGTTACTAAGAAACCTGAGCTAATAGGCCAATCAGTTTATAATCAGTGTAGACTTCTGTGTGTTTCCTTGGGACTGAATGACTGCAGGACCAGGTGGGACAGAAGCCTCGGTCAACAAGTTCTACCAACCTAGGACCAAGCATTCAAATAGATGAGTCTATGGGGTCTATTCTCATTCAAGCTACCATACATGCTGAAGGCAATCTACCCAGTCTGTTTTATTCACCAATGCATACCAGATGCTGTATAGGTATTAGATTGCTACTAGGTACCTTTAGAATGTTGTAGAGAAAATATTTTGAATTCCTCTAACATTCTTCTGGCCCTCAATCATGTACAAACCACATCTCTGGATCGGGGGAAAGTCACAGTCTCTTTCCACAGTTAAATCTAGATCTGGGACTTTGGGCAATCAGGGGAAAGGCTAGAGATTTCCATAGAAAGCAGGTCTGAACTGTTAAAAGTCCAGATCTCGGCTTGAACAACAAATAGGGAAGAAGACACTGCAGTAAAGCTATTCTCTGTCAAAAACAAAACAAAATATTCAAGGGAGTAAGAAGTTTATGTCAAGAGATTGAGGGGCAGGAAGCAATTATTCTGTAAGCATGGGTGCTGCTGTTTGCTTCCTGTTAGGACAAGAAGTGAGAACAGGGACCCAGAGTGTTGTCCCTTGAGCCAGTGTGTGTGTCGGGGGGGGGGATGGTGTTACAGCGAAAGAGTGTGGGAGATGACAACTATAGCTGCACAAGGGCTTGATCCACTGACCAGCAGGACCAGACAAAAGGGACATCCGGTAGGTTGAAAGGAGGGAAGTTCCTGATCCTTGAGGGACCCATTCCATCTTAGTAGGTCTTGATGTCCCCCACTGGAGAGACAAAGAGGCCATGTACCTGTGTGTGTTTACCCTGAGGACCAAACTCCTTCTCCCTGAAAATACAATATTGCCTTTCATTGTGTATGCGTGCTTGCATATGTGTGTGTGTGCACGCATGTGCACACACGTGCGTGCATTTCTCTTCCTGGCTAGAAAGAGGTGGGGAGGACAGTGCTTTACCAAAACCCAAAATGACAATGTCCACATTATTTTTCTAGGTTGCGTCAGAACTCTAAGGAGAAGTTGGTGTAAGCTCTAGAGAAGTCAGAAAACGGACATCCGTCTGCCCGCCTGGGCTTTGTGGCTTCCAAGTGCGGCTCAGACTGCAGATGCACGAGTGCCTGACACCCCTGATAGCAGGAGCCCCGGCTTCCCGGAGGTCCAGCTCTGACAAGTCACTCCTGCTAGGTGGATTTCCCTGCTGCTAAAGGTGATTGGACAGACACCTGGGAGGGCTTTTGTATATACGTTTCCATGAATTTCTAATACATCCACCATATGGCATCAAGTCTTCCATCTGTTTCAGAAATGCTGCAGCCTCACAGAGTGCTTTTCCCAGGACCACTGGACATAGTCTGCAATGGCTTTTCTCTTTCATTCCTGCCGTTGACTAGCTTTCCCTATAGAACTTCTCTTTTTCCTTTCTTCTTTCTTTTTACTTTCATTTTCACAGACAGAGTCTCATGTAATCTAGGTAGCCTCAAACTCGATATATATATATATCTGGGTAACCTTGAACCCCTGCTTCTTCTTCCACCACCTCTCAAGTGCTAATGTCATAGGTATTATGACTTTATATCATTTATTATTGTATTGTACATACATGTATACGATGTGTGGGGCGGGGCATGCATGGCCACAGTGCCTGTGTGGAGATCAGGAAACAACTTTATAAAGTCACTTCTTTCTTTCCACCTTTATAGGAGTCTCAGGCATCCAACTCACCTTGTCAAGCTTGAGTGACAAACACTTCTAACCTGCTGAGCTGTCTTAGCCACTCCAGGACTACAGATATTATTAGGTTTGGTTTTCTTTTTCTGTTTACAAAAAATAATTAGCGTGTCTGGCAGGAGCAGATCTGTTGCACCCATGATGCCCAGTGGAACATCGGCCACAGGCGGACTGGCTGGTCTGTCTGTCCATGCGCTACTGCCATAGAACAGTCAGGCGGAGTCATTTCTGATAAATCAAAGTCCATTCGGCTCGTGATCGTGAAAGCTGGGAAGTTCAAGACGGGATGGGTGCATGTGGCAAGGCCATTCTCATTAGTGGGACCTCTACAGAACCCCAAGGGAGCCCAGGGAATGTCATAGTAAGACAGGAAGATGACAAACTTGAGTCTCCCCCTTTCATAAGGTCCCTAGTACCCCACAGTCACGGTCTCATCTAACAGATTTAACTACTTCCCAAAACGTCACCTCCAAACACCATTGCCAGAACTTGGTGGATTAAACCTAATTTCTTTTATCCCTTCATTTTTAGGGCTGGGGGTTGAATCTGGGTTCCATGCTTGCTAGGTCAGTTCTCTGTTGCTGAACTACAGCCTCACCCCTCTTTTCACTTCTCATTCGAAGGCAAGGTTTCTCTAAGTTGTCCAGACGGTCCTCAAACTTGAGATCCTCCTGAGTCAACTTCCTCAATAGCTGAGATTACAGGCCCATGCCACCAGGCCTTGTTTGGGGATTACAGTCCAATATTCATTTCAGAGGGAACAAATACCCAGACCAAAGCAGTTGCTGAGGCCACCACTTCCCGGGTGTGGTGTCCAGATTTGATTTGCTTGTCACTGGCCTGCAGCAAACTATGGCTGACTTATGGCCAGCAAGGCCCACTGGGTTTGTGTGTTACCCCATTACTGGTTTCATGAGGTCCTTGAGCCCAGCGTGTTTTTTTTTAACCTTCTAAAATGATCAGCTGGGTGGTGGTGGTGGTGCACGCCTTTAATCCCAGCACTCGGGAGGCAGAGGCAGGAGGATATCTGTGAGTCTGAAGTGAGCCTGGACTATAAAGAAAGTTCCAGGACAGCCAAGGCCGCACAAAGGAACCCTGTCTTAAAAAAAAAAAACAAAATAAATAAATATAAAATGGGTAAAATGAGAGCCTAGGAAGACAGCTCAGTGAGTAATAGAACTTGCTCTGCCAACATGAGGACCTGAACCTGAATCCTCATCCACCGTGTAGAAAGCTGAGCATGGCCTTGTGTACCTGTAACCTCCGCACTGCGAGGAGTCAGGTGGATCCTGAGAACTCACTGGCAAGGTATCCTAGCAAAAATGCCCAGCTTCCAGCTGCTGTTGAGATGCTGTATCCAATCAATAAGGTAGAGAGCAATAGAGAAAGATATTTCATATCCTGCTATGGCCACTGCGTGTACTTGCCCTGGCAGTCACCTGCAGACACACACACACAAACACACACACGGGGTGGGGGGGGGGGTAACATCGTACGGAACTCATCTTTCAGTATCCAAGTTCTTCTGGACACACCACTGTCTTTTTTTCACCTTCACAGCTTTTACAGGACACCAGTAGGCCTTAGGACACACCTGACATTTATATGGCCCTAGCACCTGCCACTTCCTGCGGCTCCTCCCTGGCCCTCCACCTGCAGTTTGTCACCTTTTGCCTAAACGTGGGAGTTGCAGGTGCTGGAGACGATTCCTACAACACGGTGCTTGTGAGGATTGAAGGAGCACCAGAGTGTGGGCCTCTGCCTGGAATGCACCCGTCTTGAACCTTCTCTCTTTTCCTTAAACGGTCTTGGAGCACAGCACAGAGAGATGGCACCACTAAGTTCTACCAAGGACTGCCTTGCACTAACGGGCCTCCTGGCAGTGTTCAGGCGTCCCTTCCAACCCAGACCCTCTCCCACTGATTTGACACGTCCCTGGGATGCTGCGCAGAACAGCTGAGTTTAATAACCGACGGCTGGTAATACCATCTTCAGAAACCCCCGAGTTTACTTGACGGTGGTTCCCGTGGATCCAGGAGACGAAAAGACAGGGACTTGTCTCTCCAGGATGCTAGAATTCTGAATCCTCCCCCGAAGTGACTCTTGTGCCCACGATCATTCTGTGTTCGTCCGGCCACTAGAGAGCACTTTGAGACTAACAAAGTCTGGGCTGTGTGCCCAGGCCTCCTTTGGACTCTGCTGTCCTTGTGATGGGGGTGGAGGGGTGCATTTTCTCGCCGCGCGCTGCGCCCTCTAGCTTCCAGCAGCGGCTCACAAATGGCCATCAAGGCTGACGGATGCACTCTGCGAAGCTTAGTGACCTGTGGTAGTGATAATGAAGTATTCTGATGCGCAGATACATTTTATTCTGTCACTATGGTTTTCTGCCTCTGGTGACATCACCTCATTTGTCCTGCTTTACGGCATCTTTGGAAGGCAAGCATTTTCACTAGGGCCCCAGCTTCCTTATTGCTCCTATTCTTTTCTGTCAGATTGAATTTCTCTCAAAGAGAAAATATTGCTCGATATTGATTCCCGCGCACGAGATAATTTCAGGTTCTCGCTCGGCGGTTCAGCCGAAGCCCCTTTAAAATCTTGAAGAGGTTTTTCAAGGCTAAGAGGCACAGTTCAAAAGAACAGTTCTTAAATGTGTTTAAAAGACCCTTGGCTACATTTTTTTCTGATGGTCTCATCAGCAGTTTGCACTGATACAGTTTCCATTGTTATCACAACTGAACCGTATCATAGGGAGTTGTACCAGCAAGACCATCAAACTCTCTCAAAAAAAGCTATAAAGCTTTGATGTTTTCTGGCCTATTTCTTACTGTGCTCTTAAAATGTTTAGCTTCTGCTGAGCCAAATATGTACTTGCAAAGGCAAACGCAGTGAAAAACTCTTCAAGCATCCTGGGTACCGCTGTAATATCCAGACGTACAGCAGGAAGATGAGTCTTTACTAGGTTGAATGGAGGTGGGGGGAGCTCTCCGTGCTATGCTTTGGGAATGACTAATGCCGACCTTCAGCTAGGCTTTCGTCCATCAGTGCTGGGGTCTAGCTGTGGACACAGTGACGAATTCGCTTTGCTGATCAGTGCTTATGAACATATCCCAAGGTCATTCCATCATGGCCTTAGTGTTTGCATCAAAGAGAAATCAAAGACATCAGCTCTAGCCACGACTCCTCCACAGATGGAGGCGTTTCGAAGGATAAGCTTTCAGTGGGGTTCTTTGATGTTTTTTCTTTTAAAAAAAAATCCTAAATAATTTTTCCCTCTTTTGAATGACACTTGACTCTCAAGTAGAGAATATTTCTGCACGTGAAATGTCAGCTCCATCTAATAATAACCCACTTAAAATATGCCACAAAAATGACTAATAGAATTTCCCACCATTTTATAAAATGAAATTCTTTTCCTCTGTGCCGGTACCCGGTTCCTAGAAGCTTCTAGAATGGTAGCTATTACAAACACAATGGATTTCTGCTCTGAGATGTGAACTCGCTTTCTCGCCCATTACCAATAGGTGCATGAAAATAGCAAGGGGCAAACTGGCAAACAGGTGATTAACGAAGACTTGTGAGAAAAACACACCTCTGGGTTTCTCTGATGTTTCATGACTATGAAAACATCCAGGGAGTGGGAGCTGAGATAAGAACTGCTCTCTAATTGTAAAGCCATTCTTGGTTTTCAGCAGCCAGGCTTAGTTTTTAGTTATCGGTCTCTAAGCCAAGTACAGCCACTTTCTTCCGCCAATCCTGGAGGCTGAAGGGTGGGCTACCTCATACTCTTATTTCTTTATTGCATGGGATAGCTTTTGTGTGGGTGACAAAATAGTAGTCATCTATTGAAAGGTAATATTAGTTCTGGCATTTCGACAAGGCTGGAATGAGGCTGTGTGTGTGTGTGTGTGTGTGTGTGTGTGTGTGCGCATGCACGTGTGCATACGTGCTTGCCGGCCGGGCTCTCCATGATTCTCAGGAGCTATGGTTGTGTGAACACTTACAGGGGTTTCCTCTTTAAAGGATGCAGAGATGGTATGTGCAGCTCTTCATCCGGGTTTCATTCCAGAAGCAAAATGGATCCCTGCCAGTGGAAATCTTTTTTTTTTTTTTTGAGTTGTCCAGGAATTGAGTAGGACAACTTTTGTCTTCCAGTTATTTTTATTTGTCCTCTCTCTTGGAGATAGTCTTTCTATGTAACCTAGGCTGCCTTTAAATGAATTAAGTAGCCCAGGGTGGTTTCACACTCATGATCCTCCTGCCTCGAGCCTCTTGAAATTACAGGCATGTACCAGCACAGTTAAAACGTGAATGATCTATATGTCTGCCCAGACGCCTATTCTTTTTGTCTTGTTTATTTTATACATACCCACCCCCTCCAGTGAAGGTGGCCTATGAACTGGTTAGGATGCTGAGGAAAAGCAATATCGGATGGAGGAGGGATAGCCCTGTGCTGTTTAGATAGGAGTAGGGGCTTTGTTTTTAGGGCAGAAGACAACCAGAACCTCCAGGTAATCCTGGTCTGTTTGGGGCCAGCTCTTCCATTGTTGTCTTACATTGCCACTTAATCATTAATATTGCAAACACATTACATAGTTTTCTGAGAGAGAGAGAGAGAGAGAGAGAGAGAGAGAGAGAGAGAGAAGAAAGGCTGATTTGACCTTGCGTTCCTCAAAGTCTTCACGTGGCTCCTTCCACAGGGGTGTTTTCAGGAGAGAGCTGTGGTTTGATTCATAGATTCGACGAGAGTGTGGTGGGAGAAAAAAAATCTCCCCAGATCAGTTGTGTGGACTGTAGCAAGCCAAGCAATCTTCCAGGGCCGGTATTTCCTCATCTGTAAAAAGCAGGGGCCGGACTCCATGATTGCTAAGGTCACTTCCAGCTCTGTAAATTCTATGCTTTTAAAAACTGCTCATCTCCTGCAAGGAGAACATCTTCAGTTTCTGGACAATGGCGCCCAGGGTGTATTTATGCTGACCTCCGACCACATTCTGACTTTCGACTCTAATGAATCTGGGCTTATTCTTCGCTGAAATGGCTCAGCTCCAGGAGCTCTTGGTGTGAGTCTAACAC